TTTTTTTTATTTTTTTTTTTTTTTTTTTTTTTTTTTTTTTTTTTTTTTTTTTTTTTTTTTAAAGCAGTTTTCTCTTGTTTTTTTTATTCTAGACAAGGAATGTTATTTCTGTTATTCTCCTTGCGCAAAGCCTCTGTTGCTCAGACAGTCTTTTTCATCCTCATGCAAATATTAAATGCAGTGTGGGATATCGTTTGAGGATGTTCTTTCTCAGTGTATTATGACCTTAAGTGCTGCTGATGCTAGTTGATCAAGCACCTGCAATTGGTTGCAGCGTGGGACACCCAACCATTAGCAGGTTTACTTTTTCTACTTCTGTTGACATTGGATACAGCTTGAGTGACCTGCCTCTGCTTGATCTTTGGTAACAGAGTCAACATGTTTAGAACCACGAGGTACATATTTGTGTATCATTCGTGTATCATTGGAATTATGGAAAAATGATGAGATCTCTGTGGACCATGCAATTTTTAAAAAAAAAATTGTGAAGGATTCTGTCATACCATCAAAGTCAAATAAATATTTAACTGCAGCCAAAGCTTTTGTAGAGGGGAAGAAGCATAGGAGCATAGGGGAGATATACTATGTTTCGGCCTTTGACAATCAGTAGTGCTGATTCTAATCTATGGACCTAGACAAGTTTTAAACTCCCAATTTTGCTCCTTTGCATCCTTTTAAATAAAATTCCATAACAGTGGTGTCTGTTTTCATGAGGAAGACAACTTGTTTTTGAATTGTCACATAGAGTCATTTTGACATTGGTCAGCTATGAAATTGACCAGTAATTGACAATGCCATTTAAATTATATGAAAATGCTTTTACAGTGAATTTTATGAACACCATGCAGTGATGATGGAAGAAGAAGGAGCTGTCATTGTTGGATTGCTTGTTGGGTTAAATGTCATTGATGCAAACTTGTGTATTAAAGGAGAAGATTTGGATTCACAAGTAAGTAGACACCGCAATCGTATAGTATATGTAGTCTTTTTTTTTTATTGAAAATTTTATAAAATTTTACAATATAAATCCCCCCCTTCCCCAAACCCACCCTTCCACTCCCCCCTCACTTCCCAGAGCCAATCACAGGGTTAACAATAAAATAATCATACTCTAACTAACATTAATCAAGTATTAAAATAACATATCTATAACCTCCTTTAACTCTCTTTTAAGCAAATATACAGTTATTAAAGACAATAATAATAACATCACTTTAATAATTAAAAATAATACTAAGTAAACTATTCTAACCTTTATGTATATGTAGTCTTAAGAGCAAGGTTTCTTGACTGGAAAATCTTTCAAATATAGGATAGCTATTTTTTTTCTCTTGTAAAAAAATGTTCTAGGTCCTTCAGGATGTGTATGAAACCTGTGTTTTGGCTTATATTTAGACCTTAATATTGTAAACTCAATGAGATGGCTTAAACATTTGAATAATGAAAAAATACCAGTATTGGAATGTATTATAATGTAGGCTTGGCTATATAATATTCATAATTAAAGTAGCACACCTTTATTCATTTATGGATACTGCACATTGCTCTCGATCAATTATGTGTTTGCTCCACTGTCGACCCATTTGGGTCTGGAAGATTTTAACTCCTGGGAGCAAATTTGGGGGAGACCGGTTGTTGCAAAATGGCATTGGTCAATACAATCCAAACCATTAATGTGATCATTACCAAATGTGGAATTTCCCATTCTGTTGAATTTGATTAAATCTGAAGGAGAATGAAGCTTATTCCCTAGCTGTTCCTTTATTTCACTTTGCAACATTTGAATATATTTTTTTAAAGGTTGGTGTAATTGATTTCTCCATGTATCTAAAGAGTGAAGATGACACTGAAGATAAAGAAAGGTGAGTTTTAGTAGAATTTTTAGCATGTTGAACTAAGTGGCTGAAAAAACCATCACCCTGGAAGGAAACCAAAAGTGTCCTTCCCCTCACAAAAAATATTCCTTTTGTTCAGAAGGGAATCTTTACGCGTGCTCCATTTTATGCCATGTTGTACCTCATGTGCATTAGTTCTGACTTACAAAGCCCTCTGAGGCTTCACATAAGTTGCATACTTATGTAACCACCTGCTCTAACCAGATTTGATCCATGAATTGCTCGTGTTGCCCTGATTTCATGAGGGGGCAGGGATGAGGTCAGAAATGGCTGGACTCTACTGTGCAAGAACCAGCCACGGAGATGTTAATCTGGCTACTCAGAGCTGGCTTTCTTGAATTTGGGTGGGGTTTGTTTTTTTAATTCCTTCAAGAGTGCAGTTTCTTGACATGTTTGGAGGTGGTTTGCCATTGCCTTCTTTCTAGGGCTGAAAGAGAGGGACTGGTCCAAAGTCATCCAGCTGGCTTTGTGCCTACGGCAGGGCTAGAATTCAGTTTTCCACACTTCTTGGCCAGCACCATAACCAAGAAGCTCAAACTGACTCTCTCCTCAAGTTAGCAAAGGCCAAACTTTTCTAGAGGACTTTATTTATATTTTTAAAAAAATGTATTTATCAAAAAATAAAATGCAAAGAAAAATGAAAATAAAGGGGGGGGGGAAAGGGAAGAGGAAAAGGCAGAGGGGAAAAGGGGAAAAAGAAAGAAAAGCGTTGACTTTCTACTTTTTTTAGTGCAGTAGTATAAGGTAATAACATATAGCCTGAACTTTTTGTTTTTATATAACTATACTACTCATTTCTATAACAACAAACCTATCTAATCAGCAAAACCCAAAGATAAAGTTTCATTTTTCCACATCAAGCACAAAGTCCAGAAGCAATTTATTTATTTATTTATTAAAACGTTATGCCCCCATCTTCTCTAGAAGGTGACTCTTATTTGCCCTTACTTATTTTACTTATTGTACATATAAGTATGTGTTCTCTCTCTCTCTCTCTCTCTCTCTCTCTCTCTCTCTCTCTCTCTCTCTCTCTCTCTCTCTCTCTCTCTCTCTCTCTGTGTTTAATTTTACTACTTTCTCTTCCATTATGTAAATCTCTATGAGTCTGGAAAATAATAATAATACTACTAATTATAGCCTACTGCAGGGGTCTTCAAACTTGGCAACTTTAAGACTTGTGGACTTCAACTCCCAGAATTCCTCAGCCAACCTGGCTGAGGAATTCTGGGAGTTGAAGTCCACAAGTCTTAAAGTTGCCAAGTTTGAAGACCACTGGCCTACTGTGAAAAAAGTTGTACATTTTGGGGTCATAGATTTCAAGGGCAAAAAGCAGAAATCATGGAGCAACTAAAAAAAAAATCAATGTTTAATGAAAGAGGATTGTTTAATCCACAAATGCAGAACAGAGATATGAACAGTCATCCTATTAATATCTAATATAAATTTGGGGAAATAGATAATCAAAGTCATATGTAAATCTTTAGAGGACAGATGGGCAACTATGGCCCCTTTATGATCTGTGGACTTAAACCCCGAGAATTTCTGAGCCAGCCATGGCCCCTTTATGACACCCAGAATTTTTAAGTCAGCCATGCTGGCGCTCAGGAATTCTGGGAATTGAAGTCCATAGGTTATAAAGGAGCCATAGTTGCCCACCCCTGCCTTAGAGCAATGTTTAATTTCCATTTTTTGAGAAAATCAAAGAAACTTTTTTTTAACAGACTCCAAGATTGTTGATGGTGGTTATCCAGCTAATACTAGTGCTAATTACACAGAATGTTCTATATTTCAAGCCATATCCAGATATTGTTTTTTAATTTATGGAGAACATATTTCCGGTATATAGTAAATAGAAATTTTTCACATGCAATTCTCGAGACTCAGATATCAGATCAAATGTCTTAACTAAACATTAAATATTCTAAACTAAAACTAAATTTCTTTTAGAAACGACCATATCGCTGCAATATTGGATCAGAAGAATTACGTTGAAGAATTAAACCGGCAATTGAAGTAAGGATAAGTTGTGTTAGAAGACAGGTGTCTCCTGTTTTAAAAACAATTACTTTGGTAATTATCAGGTATAGAAAGTACTAGTATTTATTGAATAATGAATAGAAAAAAGATAAGTTGGGAATGGTTGTGAAATGCAAGGTTGTCCATGGCGAGGGGGGGGGGTAAAAAAATCAAGATGGTAACAGGATCAAAACCTGACCTTTTTTTCAAGTTCAGTGCACACATGATCACATTTTTTTCCGGTTTGTGTGGTCTTCTGGCAACTACTTGGACTATTTCCCGTGGTTTTCTTGGCAATCACTTTTTTCAGAAGTGATTTGTCTTCCTTCCTTCCTTCCTCCCTCCCTCCCTCCCTCCCTCCCTCCCTCCCTTTCTCCTTCTTTCCTTCCTTCCTTCCTTCCTTCCTTCCTTCCTTCCTTCCTCCCCCTTCCTTCCTTCCTTCCTTCCTTCCTTCCTTCCTTCCTTCCTTCCTGCCTTCCTTCCTGCCTTCCTGCCTTCCTTCCTTCCTTCCTTCTGCTAAGAAAGAGGGGCTGGCCCAAAGTCTCCATGCTGGCTTCATGCTTAAAGGAGGACTAGAACTCAAGGTCCCCTGGTTTCCAGCTAGGTATCTTGCAGTCACAACCACCCTCTTGACTTGTAATCCCCACCCTGATAGATCTTGGTTAGAAATATCTTAGCATAGTTTACGTCAAAAATATGATTATGTTTTTAATCTGGAACCCTAAAAGAAATTTATTAGCTATTATATCAAAGAGTTAATACTGCCATGATCGCTCCATTTTAATATGCTTCTCTTATCAGGTAGACTAACAACACAGTAACACTAATACAGAAGAGATGACATTTGGTTCCGCATGTGTTTTTCGTAGGGCATCTGTTAATAAGTAAACTATACTTCTTTAAAGTATTTAAAGTATTAAAGGTATACTTAAAGACTTGTGTATTTTTCCAGTTGATATGACATGGCTGTTTAAAATGGTTGTTCATGCACATTGAGCTTTGTGATGTCAAATAGAAGCAGGGCTCCAATTCAGATCTCACTCCAGACTTACTCACTGCAGTAAGACTGGTTTAGATAAAGCGTAAGGGCTATGTCAGTATGTACAGCTTTGTCCTCAGGTAATATGAACTTTCTCACATTCTTTAAGAGAACCCACCAAGAAGGCTAATAGTAATAATTAGTCTTCTCCAGATCATAAGAGGAGAACAAATTAAATGCAACAATCATAGAGAGAGTCCTTGACTTATGACCACAATTGGGAGAGAATTTCAATTGTAAGTCATTGAAGTTGCAAGTTGAGGCACCCATGAGACTGGACCCAGCTTTTCAACTGGTTTTATGGTGCTCATTAAGTGAATCACACGGTCGTTAAGCAAATCCAATTTTCTGAATGGGTGGTTTCTTGCCAGAAACTGGCAGAAAATATCGCAAATTGCAGTTGTGACTTTGACATGCGGCAGATGGTTGTAAATGTAAGATGATTGCCAAATGCACAAAATGCAGTTCATGTGACTATGGACAGGGGGAATTTTTTACAATGGTAGGAAATGCTTTACTGGCCATAACGCAGCCCTTCCAAGGCCATCATTACTTTGAACGATCATTATAAACAATCATTCATAAGTTGAGGATTGCCTGTATAATATCCTTTTACAACCTAGAACTAAGGAGAAATTTCCTGACATTTAGAACAATTAACCAGTGGAACAGCCTGCCTCCAGAAGTTGTGAATGCTCCAACACTGGAAGTTTTCAAGAAGAGACTGGACAGCCATTTGTCTGAAATGATAGGGCAGGGGTCTTCAGACTTGGCCCTTTTATGACTTGTGGACTTCAACTCCCAGAATTCCTCAGCCAGGCACGCTGGCCGAGGAATTCTGAGAATTGAAGTTCACAAGTCATAAAAGGGCCAAGTTTGAAGACCCCTGTGATAGGGTTTCCTGCCTGAGCAGGGGGTTGGACTAGAAGACCTCCAAGGTCCCTTCCAACTACTACTACTACTTCCTCCTCCTCCTCCTCCTCCTCCTCCTCCTCCTCCTTCTTCTTTTTCTTTTTCTTCTTCTTCTTCTTCTTCTTCTTCTTCTTCTTCTTCTTCTTCTTCTTCTTCTTCTTCTTCTTCTTCTTCTTCTTCTTCTTCTTCTTCTTCTTCTTCTTCTTCTTCTTCTCCTCCTCCTCCTCCTCCTCCTCCTCTTCCTCCTTCTCCTCCTTATCATCATCATCATCATCATCATCATCATCATCATCATCACCATCATCATCGGGATGTATCAAGTCCGTAGACTAGAAACGGAAGTCTAGTTGTGTGAGCTATGAATAAGAAAGAATACAAACACTATATATTTTGAGGAGTGGTGTCAGGAAGTGTCTTCTGATGCATTTGTTGCTGGGCACCAAGCAGTCGCTAGGAGGTTTTGTAAATCAGCTTGTACTACTGCATAACTGTAGAAATAATTCTGAAGATTTTTTTTTATTGTTTTCAGTAGTACAGTCAGCAGCCTCCATACACGCGTCGATTCACTAGAGAAGTCAAACACTAAATTAATCGAAGAGGTATGGTCTTTCGGCAATATATGCTTCAATGTTGAAACTGGCAGCCTTTGTTTGCGTTTGGGGTTTGGTTTTTATTTTGGTTTGGGATATTTTTTTGGGGGGGGTTGTTTCAGCCAAGACGTTTCCCTTGGCCAAGAGGTGCCTTGTGTGTTACACAGAACTTCTGAGCAGCATGAGGATGGCAGCCTCAGCTCAGCTGCAGCTAACCATGAAATCCTGGTCCATCTGTACAAACCAACTTTTTTTGCCATATAAAGCAGGAACATCTGCAAGGTTGGCCAAAATGTGAAGATGGTCATGACCTTGCAACTGAAGCCCTGTCAGAGCCATCTTGACCTTTTTGACCTCTGGAGGTTGACCTAAAATGGGTATGTTATCAGTATGGGAGGGGAGTCCAGATCCACCAACCCATAGAGCAGGGGTCTTCAAACTTAGTCCTTTTATGACTTGTGGACTTCAACTCCCAGAATTCCTCAGCCGGGCATGTGTGCCTGGCTGAGGAATTCTGGGAGTTGAAGTCCACAAGTCATAAAAGGGCCAAGTTTGAAGAGACTCCTGCCATAGAACATTCTCTCAACAGGTTGAGAGAACATTGTCTCTAGCTGCTGAGAGGCTGTGTACAACCTCAATGGGGCATAACTGTGATTTGTTTTTGTGTGTGTGTGTATATAATTTTTTTTGCATTTGTGGAAATCACTTATCATAGGAATCCTTGCGGCAAGCTCTTTTAAACAATACCACAGCCCTGCCTGGTAGACGGCCTTTTACAAGTGCCCAGACTCATGGCGCTCTGCATATTAAGCATTCCTTAGCCATTGTTAATGTTGGATTAATATCTTCAGTTGCAAATTTTGGATTTCCGCTTCCCGTCAACTACCATGAATCCTTGTTTGTTGGCAATAGAAAAGGTTGAATGAATAAGCCCTAGAATCAGTATGTTGGATTAGTG